CCCTCGTCGACTGGTCAAATACTCCCATTTGATGCCAGTCCTCCATCTGAGATGGAGTTTTCTCTGAACTAGGTTATCTCAAAAGGCACAAGGCTTCTGACCCAAGTTGGCTGTTCCTATCGACGTTTAATGATGGAGGCTCAGCGTTAGTCTTGGAGTTGAGGGAAGTCCTGAGCTCAGTGTGGGAGAAGGAAAAGGTTCCAACTGAATGGTGTGAATCAGTGATCATACCGATTTACAAGAAAGGTGACAGGTCCTCTTGTGAAAGCCATAGAGGAATTAGTTTAATCAACATCATCTCTAAACTTCTCGCTAGTATCATACTCCGTCGATTGTCTGCCGCATGTGAACGGTGCACACGTGAGAACCAACCCGATTTTCGATCTGTTCGAGGTTGTGTCGACCACATCTTCACTCTCCGCCAAATTCTGGAGCATCGAAATTCTTTTCGTAAACNTGCCTTTTCCTGAAAGGTGTGCTCGAGAAGTTAATTTCAATATTACGATCCCTTTATACTAATAGCAGAGGTCGAGTACGGGCTTACGACACTTTCGTTCGAGTTCACCACGGAAAATGGAGTTCGTCCGGGTTGCCCTCTGCTTTTCTATTTAACTTTGTTACAGATATCATTATGGAAACAGCCCTATCCTCGTGCGAGAATAGCGCCACCGATTTACTCTGAGGTGGCAGACTGTTTGATCTGGACTGTGCAGACGACATTGTGCTACTAAATGAAGATCCAGGTAAGTTGCATGCTTTTCTGGAAAGCTTGAGTGCCAGCATAGCTGTGTTCAGTATGCGTTTTGCACCTTGCAAGTGCAAAATGTTACTACAAAACTGTTGGTCCAGCACCCAGCCTCACTCTTACTGGAGAAGTAATAGAGTAGGTGGATAACTTTTGTTATTTGGGCAGCTACATCTCACCCGGTGGATGCATCACGGATGAAATGTCAGCTCGCATACAGAAGGCTCGGTTAACATTTGCCCATTTGAGACATTTGTGGCGCCGTCGCGACATCCGGCTGTCCGTGAAGGGTCGCATGTATGCTGCGGCAGTTCGGCCAGTCCTGCTATACGGTGCAGAAACTTGGCCATTAAAAAAACAAGACAAAGACGGACTGTCGGTATTTGAACACCGCTGTCTACGCAGCATTGCACGTGTCTGGTGGAGTAGCCGGATGAGCGATGCTGAGGTTAGGGGCAGAGNGAGCAAGTGGTCGACCTCCATAGATTACGTTGGCTGGGACATGTGTTAGGCATGTCACCAGGTAGGTTGCCACGGCGAGCGCTGTTCGCCGAAGCAGATACCGAGTGAAAAAAGCCAAGGGTGGTCAAGTTAAGACCTGGCACGTGGGTATGAAAACTCTAAATAGGAAACTTGGTCACACAGATCCTGTTAGGCTATCTGGTTGGGGACCTCGGGATGATCGTAACCGATGGTTAGAGACACTAAGCGATGTGGTTGGGTGTCGTAAACAGTGGCGTTCGTGCATCTCAATTTC